GCCAACGGTTGATTGGGCGACGGAGGACGGCTGTGGTGGGAAATTGAGAGGGGTCTGGGTTGGAGTGTTCGGTGTTAGGGCGTAGATCAATGGGTTGTGGTGGTGAGCGACTGCGGGATGGCGTAAGGCTGGATGTGTAAGTGGATGTTGAAGGCGGTGCTGTGATGTTTGGAGTGGCGGTGATGGTGATGTCGGCGGCGGTGGCGGTGGCGTCCTCTGTGGTGATGGTCGGACTTGCGTCGGCTCTTGTGGTGGTGGCGGCGACTGCTGTGTGGTGGTTGCGGGGAAGGTGGTTGCGGTGCTGGTGAGGCAGTGGTGTCTGGTGCTGGTAGTGAAGATCCAGGCGCTGGTGTGGCAGATACTAGCGATGGGGATGCTGAATGTTGGGATACGGTAGCTGGTGGGGGCGTGTTTTGGACCGGCAATGGATTGTCCTGGGCAGTCGCGGGGATGGGTTGGATTGGTGGTGTTGGATCCGATGGTGGCTGCTGTTGAAGTGGAGGTTGGACTGGTGTTGAGGCGTTGATGGTTTGTGGAGGCGGTGGCGGGGGCAACGGTTGGAGTGGAGGCTGTGTGACGGGGGGAAAAGCTGAATAGGGTTGCCAAACGCCCTGGGGGATGGCGCATTGGGGGTCTGTGGATGGATGATTGGCAATCGCAGTCTGTTGCTGTGTTGGAGGGGGATGCGCCAGTGTAGTGGGGGGAGGAAGTTCAGCCGGTGGTGTGGGATGATGTGGTGGCAACAGGTATGAAGGGGGAGGTGCTGCTGTCAGTTGGATGTGTGGGCTGCGGTGGCACGTGACATGGTTGGACAAACGTCCAAGTGGATGGTGTGCCGTAGGTCAGTGCAGTGGCGGTAGGGTTGGACAAGAACGGTGGTGGTTGAAATGGTTGTGGTTGTGGGTGAGGGTATGCCGATGGTTGTGTCGGGGGAAAAGTGGGTGCCGTTGATGGTTGTGGCATCGGCCATGTGGGTTGAGGTTGTGTGGTAGGTAATGGTGGTGGCGTGGTGTGAGCGTAGGGCCACGGAAAATGCATGTCGTGGTCGTAGCTATGGCGCGGCGCGGCGCGGCAGCAAAAAGCAGCGGGGAAGTGCCGAGTTGTATTGTCTTGTTGTTGTTGAAGGTGTCATCTCTGATGTCGATGGTGAGTATGTTGTAAGGTGGTGCTAGATGTGAGCTTGTTGGTAGGTGTGTGTTCATGCATCTCGAATTAAGCTGAAGAGCTGTAATGCCCATCCTTGAGTTCTGTCGATGAAGGAATCGCGGCATCAACATAGCAAACATGGAAACACGCACATGATTGGAAGACATGAAAAATCTGAATGCTGAAATCTGAAATCTGAAAGTTGGAATCCGAAGTATTCTTCAAGAACCGTTTTTTGGCCCGGCGGCGGGTGTGGCAGTTGATTCTGTGAGGGTGTCGGTGCCTTCCTGTGAGAGTCCAGTGAACGATGGTGCGTTGGGGTGGTTGCTTTCCCATGCAAGATCGGCGCCCCTGTGACGGGGATCACACTCAGCACCCGAGTGGGACGGCTGAGCGGGACACACTTCGACAATTTGTATTCAGTTAGCTCAATTTCCCGATGGGAAGGATGGCGGTGGAACGGCATGGTGATTGGGTCAGATCACTTGAATTGTTTAACATAGTTTCCCTCGCTCTGCTGAACAAACGCTGCACATCTGCGGACGATCGGCGGCTCAGCTGCTGAAAGAAACCTGTTTTGGGGTGGTAGCATGAAGGACCATGAAAGCAAACCGATCAGATTGGACAGCTTGTGCAAAAGTTGGTCGCAGGTACACACAGTTGATCAGACTGTGCATCCACCGACAAGCATAGCTTTGTTAGCCAGCGTTTGCTTGTCGGCCGCTGGCCCCCTGCCCATGTAAAGTGGAAAGAGTGGTGGTGGAAGACCCTTTGTCCAGGGTTGGACACACACACACACTCAGCTTGTCATCTCATCATCTGACACCGTCCTTCTCTTACACACACAATCATCTTGTCATCTGACCTCTGTGTATGTTCTCATCTCACATATCCACTCCCAACTTCATCTATTCGTCAGCTTGTCATCTCATCATCTGACACACACATACACACCTGTTCTCATCTCACATATCCACTCACAACTTCATCTATTCGTCAGCTTGTCATCTCTTCTCATCTCACATTCTCACATTCACACACACAACACAATTATCTCATCACACTCAGCTTGTCATCTCATCATCTGACACACGCACACACTTCTTCTCATCTCACATATCCACTCACAACTTCATCTATTCGCCCTTCTTGTCACACCTCACATCCGCAGTGGCCGGCGCAGTATCCAGAGCCTCCAGAAGGGGCTGCCTCCAGAAGGGGCTGTGGCGCGCGTTGTCGCCGCTGGGGGCCCGGCTCTCTCCGCAGTGTCCAGAGACTGCAGAAGGGGCTGCGGCGCGCGTGGTCGCCGCTGGGGGCCCGGCTCTCTCCGCAGTGGCCGGCGCAGTGTCCAGAGACTGCAGAAGGGGCTGTGGCGCGCGTGGTCGCCGCTGGGGGCCCGGCTCTCTCCGCAGTGGCCGGCGCAGTGTCCAGAGACTGCAGAAGGGGCTG